ACTTGAAGATCGATCGGTGTATGACATCAAAGTACAGCGAGAGAAAGCATAAGGAGACGTCCACACTCTCTTATAGCTATCGCAGTACTTTGATGACACACACCGATCGGTCTAAGCAGCGCTGCTTCAAGTCGAGCGCGGGCCATCAGCAGAAAAAGAAAAGAAATAAAACAGTAAACAGTCAAAGGACTTAACTTGGAATGGGTGATGTATCGCTTTGTGAAAGGGAAGAGAAAAGCCATAGATGAAGTCGCACAGACCCCGGCAGGTGCTGGTCATTCAAAAGTTAAATGCAGAAAATATGACGAGGCATATCTTGCTCTCGGCTTCACTCACTGTGTCTATACCGGACACCGGGCCGCAACAGCTCTACACTGGACGCGACAAAGCGACCGTTGCAAATAATTTTTTACAAGACACTTTGTGTCAGTACATCATAAATAGAGCAAGGGGCGAATTCCAAACGGCTTTTTTGCACCCTTGAATGGCACTTCGGGAAGGGGGCGCCATTTGTAGGGACGTTCCAAACGAAAGTGAACAACTGAATCCCTTCACGAAGTGCCCTTCCAGAAGTCCGTTAGCGAAGGGAACATGCGATGGTCGCTTTACGGAAGTGATTTCCATTTGGGATCATGTGATCTTCAGTTAGGAGATCTTGCGATGCATTTTAAAGCAAAGTTGTGGTTGATTTCGACTTCACATACAAACGTAAGTAGAATAGGCTAATTAAAATTGTCTTTATTTTAATGTAATACAAAATATTTTTCGTCAGTGATAGAAATATGATTTAAGACGGAAGTGTTAGCAAGTTTTAAGCAAGTTTAGCTTGAAAAAGTTTAATAGTAATAATCCACAATTAGATAATATTTGAATAACATAATAATAAGAAATATTTATTTGCTACAACTGATGGAGTACTGAATGCTGCACGCACGCGCAGCGTTGCCAAGGTAGCATCTGGTCAGTCACTCCCTTCTCCAAGGGAGTTCCAAACGCTTATACGAGACCGTAATGCCCTACACCCTTCAAAGAGCACACTTCAAGGGCTTTGCCCTTTGAAGGGAGTATGGCATAGGGATGCTCACTTCCGTTTGGAATTCGCCCAAGGCATCAGTTTAATGTCGGGTTGGTCGTGTCGCGTGTAGACAGCGTCACTGATTATAATGGTTCTACTGTATTTTGCCACTCGCGTCCGGTGTTTAATGTCGTTGGTGAGGAGGAAAGCCTGTGTGTGTCCTATGCCTTAGCAGCATGAAACCCACAAAAAATAAATAACAGAGAATAATAATAATATCAACAGTTATTCTCTCTATGCTATTTTTCAATGTTTCAAGTGATGCAGGTTTTTTTTTTTCCCCCTGTAGGTTTTTTTAATTAAAAAAAGCATACATTTTTCATAATGTTTAGAGAAATTATTTGGTAGTCGGCGCAGATTTTTTTTATAGGTTTAAAGAGGGGGGCGCGACCAAAAAAGTTAACAGATAGTGTTTAGTGCAGTCCACGTTTACATGTTTATTACAGTGACATTGAATTACCTAAAGTAGTGTGGTAAAGCAACAGATTTGTTTTTATATTTCTGCAATCTACTTTAGTTTGTGTGATTTGTTACTGACTTTCATATTAATGTTTACACCAGGCTTATTTGTCAGTGCTTTATGTTGGTTATTTAATGAGCTAACATGAACTAAGACTTGTATTTTTTAAACAAAGATTAATAACTTCTTTAGCAAATGTAGCTATTGCTCATTGTGAATGTTAATGCATTAACTAAGGTTAACTAATGAGGTCTTATTGTAAAGTGATACCTATTGGTCTTTATAGTTCTTTTGCACTTTAATCTGTGTAAAACTTTTAACTTTATAAATTTTTCTGTATTGCTTTATTGCATTTAAATGTTCAGTTATTTTTTTTATAAGAAAAAAGTTATTAAACCTGTTATACTGTATTATGACAGCACTTTTTTTAAAACTAAATTTCAATATCGTGATAATACCGTATACCATGATAAAAGCATTAGCAATTAATCGCAACATGAAAATTTGATACCGGCATATCCCTAGTCATACCATACAAGGATTTATAGCTTGTCTTTGTTGAATAATACAGAACATAAAGAGCTTGAAAAAAAATAATTGCATATTAAATCGCAATCTTGGTAAAAAAAAAATCGCAATTAGATTAGTTTCCAAAATCGTTCAGCCCTAGCATGTTCTTTTTGCCATACTCATGTCATTATAAACACATGAAGCTATCAACAAACCTGTGGAGGAGTGGGTGTGGAGGTCGTTCTCCCACCAGACATGATCTCTTCAGTGATGTCACGTCCACCCTGGTTGGGGTCACGTATTCTGATCTGTAAGGAAACAACTGGTAAGTCACAGACAAATGGATCAGAATGAAAACACACCAAATGTTGTTCCCACCCACCTGTTTGCGCTCTCTCGGTTTGACTTGTCCTGACTGCTGAGGCGGAGCTTGCTGTGGAGGTGGAGCTGGTTGCTGCGGAGCGGGATTCATCATGACAGGCGTGGCGGACACTGGAGTTGGGTACTGCTGTGTTGCAGGATAATAGGCAGCCGCTAGACAACAACAAAAAAACAAACAAAAAAAAGAGACAAGATTAGACCGCAAAATAAGAGACAATCAGCTTTAATGGGAGGGGGACACATGCAAAGTATTCTCCCGCCCGCCAAAAGCACTTCTCGATTCTTTGGGGAAAACAATACTTCATATCAATCTTGTCATAAATCTCTTAATGATAATCACAAATCGATAACTGTCCTTTCAACATCCCAGAATGTTTGCAGTTGTTTAGTTTTTTTTGTCTAGGACATGGAGTCAGAAGTTGAAGTAGCATTACATCAAAGGTTACATGTTACCTGCGGTGTTAAAACACAACCAGCCAGGCTAAGACACTGACAAGAGGTGTACCAGAAACAGCCCTGCGCTTCAGACTCACCAGGATAGCGCTGGGAGGTGAGAGGAGCTCCGTGCAGCGAGAGACGTCCGTTCTCTCTACCCGCACCTCTCCCCCCACCCCCCTGCCTCTCCCTCCCTGCCAGAGAGGGATCTGAACTCAGCCAAAAGAGAAGGGAAGAGAGAAAAGCAAGAAAAGACAGAGAAAGAGACAAAGGTCGAAAGTGAGTAAGAGGAAACAAGCAACAGATATAAGTGCTGAACATGGTTAGTAAGCCAATAATCTGAGCAGAGGGTAGAACTAGGCGATTAGTGGTTAGTTATGACAGGGATATTATCTAATGTATATTACTGATATAACATAAGACTTCTAAGGTGAAGTTACAAAATCTATCCAAAACATACACGGGTACATACACGATTTTATATTCCGGGGGGGATTGGAATAAAACTCTACAGCCAGGTTTTTTTCCCCATTGTTAAAGGGCTGTCACACACCAGTTACTGTTGTTCAGCCAATTTTTGTGGGTGTAATGCAGTCATTTCAGTAGTAATTAATGTAATCTTGAATTTCATGTGAGGGCAATAGATCTCCCCATGCAGATTTCACAATAGATTCAAGTTCAAAGAGAAAGCTGCTTGGTTTGAGAGTGACCTCTGTGTAATGAATGCTTCATACACCACACATTATTGACAAAGGACCAAAATTATTTTGCTAATATAACTGCACATTATCATCATTCTCTTTACTGGAAAAAAAAACACTTTAAAATACAAGAAAAAATACAGATACATTATGAAAAAGATTGACAAAGGACCAAAATTATTTTGCTAATATAACTGCACATTATCATCATTCTCTTTACTGGAAAAAAAAAACACTTTAAAATACAAGAAAAAATACAGATGAAAAATGCACTTATAGAGTCATGTAACTTGTATCAAGTGTAATTTTGGCACCACAACAACAGATCTATAAAAATGTTTCCTGAACATTTAAAGATTCATCAGGAATCTGATGTGTTCTACAGACTGGTGTAAGACCACTTTTGAATGAAAACAGCAAGATATACAAGTAAGAAAAAAACAGGGTTGGGTGGTTCAAACAAGCAGGGGAGGCCCAGAGCAGAGCCTCTTACCATATGTACCGTATTCAGCTGGACTGCTTCCAGGGTAAAAGCCTGCAGAGTACTGCTGCGTTGGGGGCATGTAGGGGGGCCGGTACTACAATAGAAAACAAAAGGTTGTTAGATGCACGAACAGCCTCACAAAAAGTGCACAACATAGCTGTTCAAAGAACAATAGGTGTTACCTGTCCATGCAGGAAAATGGTATGGCCCTGAGTGTTGGCGAATGGCAACTGTTGCTGGGGAATCATCATAACCTGTGAGGTAGGCTGGTAGACATGAGTGGGAGCAACAGACCGGGGGGTGCTGCTGGGTGGGACCCGAGGGACACTGCCTTGCATGTTGGGCCGGTTAGGGTAATACGGCTGTTGGGGAAATGAGACCGATTCAGAAAACAAGCCACACAAGAACAAACTTCAAATTTTCTGTTACTTCTGTAATGTTACTTCATCCACATCCATTCATAAGCATGCAAACGCAGGATCAAATTTTCAGCAGTCATTACTGCAGTCTTCAATGTCACATGATCTTGGAAAACTAGTGTAGACTATATTATAAGATCAGTATATTTGACACTAACAATCACAAACAGAAGAGCTGAAGTACAACATCCTTTTACCCACATTCATTCTTGAATGCTTAAAGCCTGAGACCACACTTTTTCCTAACTTGCCACCAGTTCACACCAAGAATGATCAATAACCTATTTTCCTTTGTGGTCCTTCTCAACATGAAATCAAAATGACCCCATTTTCTAAACACAAATTTCTAGTCTTACTGTACACAATTCATCAGTATAAGTGGTAACTTGCTTTTTCTTTAAATGTCTGGACAGTCTGATTACATTGGCTGTGGACAGAGGGAGATGAGAGGGCCAGTTACCTGCAGTGACCTGAATCCACCCTTCAGCCACACAAAATAGCAGAAGAAATAGAGTGGAGAGAAGGTGTGAGAGAGAAACAGACAACAAGAAGCAGCAGTAAACGTTAGCCATCAGCAGTGAAAGCAAGCTTCCAACATGCACAGTTAAGAACAGCCTGAGAAATACAGCGCAAGTACAACAAAGATCAGTGGCACACAGAGAACAAGTTGGCAATGGTTGAAAGGATGAGACTCAAAACAGCTATTAAAACACATGCAGCCTCTGACAATTAGGGTTGGGAATTTGTTCATTATATGATTTAGAAAGTTCAGTTCTGTTAACATTTCTCAAACATATTCAGTCTGACCAGTTTGTAAGATGTAAATAAACATTTTGGGAAGTGTTTACATTCTTAATTTTTTCCACATTGATCAGGTTATTCCAGGTTTACACCAACCCTTTCAAGCTGACTAAAATTTCATTTGGCTTGAGGTGTTTATAAGGCGGCTTTTCAGTCAGATTCAGCCATCAATCCAACTACTGGTGAGTCTTCAACGGATTATTTGGTTGAATGTAAAAGTAGCTATTGGTTGCATGCAACAAAGGCATAAGTACAACCAGTAAATTACTCCTTTGAGCAAGTTATTTTCAAAGAATCAGAAAGACTGATAGGTTTGAAACTGTCTAAAGATTTACATTATGGGGTTCATGTCATTACTTTCATCAATTCTAACTCAAAAGAAATCAAGAAACGTTTTAATAAAATAAATTATAAAACTCTACAGGAGACTTAAATGGAGTGGTTACTTATCAAGATACATCGGGAACAGGTTTGTAAACTTTTTTTAGTGCTTTGTGTGAAACGTGTGCTTCTTCAAAAGTACTACAAAGAAAAGAAAAAAGAAAAAAAAAACTTAAATTGAATCTGAACATGATTCATTAAACATATGGATTCCCAACCCTACTGACAATGGTAATGAATAAACAAAGACTAGCAAGAGCAGCACCTAAATGCAAGAGAACCTGTAGTTTATTATAGACTAGTTTTGGTGGGGGGGGGGGTGTACAGACAGAAGACTTCAGAAATCAAGCAGGCTCCAGTTTATGAAAATTGGTAGTACCTGTTGGTGTAAAGCACGAGGCCCTGGAGCAAACTGGGAGGAAAGTAAAGAGTAGCAGTTTTTCTCAAACACAAGCAGGAATTAGGACATCTAGCTAAGCCAAAAAAAAAAAAACACACTGTCATAGCTTGAAGATCGTGTACCTGTCTGGGTTGCGGTGCAGTGTTCATTTGTGGAGATGGCCCGGGAAAAACAACAGAGGGAGGCTGACCTGGGGGATAGGCAGCCTGTAGAACAAATGGAAACACTGATAATGTTAAAGGACACTCGTATAATCCTGATCAAAACCATAAACTTCTCTGATTCCGCTTTCACCTGTGTCAGTCCTGGCGATTGGGCGGGGTGGGGAATGGCAGGGGGTCCTGTTATAGGCTGAGGTGGTTTATTCATTTCCTGTGGTTCTGCATGAGGGGGCCTCACACTTGTCTGCCAAACTAGTGAATCAGGAAAACATGATTTCATGAGTAATGATCAGATACAACCAACCATGTTTTTAAGCAATATAGACAGGTTGGGTTTTCCATTGCCAACTTATCAAAATTAATTTTTTTTAACAGCCATGCAAGTAAAAAATACACAATAATATGCGTTTTAAATAATACTTTGTGAAAATCATACCTCTAAATTAGTATTATGAATCTCTGGGGTATTGACAAGCCCTCAGGGAGAGTTCTTGTGTAGTGTGTTAGCAATTCACCCTGGAGAGAAATAAAGAGGAAATTAATTTGCCATTGCACTGGAGAAAAAAAAAATATGACGCACTGGAGCCACCGATCATGGCCCCTCCCCTAACACTATAATAACTGTCGATGACGCACCGGAGCCACCGAGCATGGCCCCTACCCTAACACTATAACTAGAGCACATTTGCATCAGTTCACCCGCTCAATCGCGAGTTACTGTCAGTACCATTAGTTACTACAGCCTACAGTTTGCTAGCTAGCTATGCCTTCATCACGGAAATGTGTATTACCTGGTTGCGATAACTTACGAAACAGCTCTGTGTCCTTATTTAAATTTCCTAATAATGATTTTATCAAAAAGAGGTGGATTCATTTTGTGAAGAGCCACCTTGATGGACAGCTGAGGATCACCACCAACACCCGCCTCTGCAGTGATAATTTTAAACCAGATTGTTTTATTAACTTTCATCGGAGACAACTGGGATTCACTGATAATCCGCTGTTACTGGAGAATGGGGCCGAACCGACTATCCCACCTCGGCCTTCATCCTCCCGTCGCCGACATTTGGTGCCATCGTCGGCAGTACATGCCCACCAATGAGTGTAAGTTAACTTGTGTTCTTATGTTATAATTATAGTAGGTAGTCCACAGTAACTCTACTAAATTTACTCTAATAGCATCCATTCAGGCTGTAGTGGTAGTTGACAGTTAAAGGCACAATATGTAAGATTTTTTTATTAAAATATCCAAAAACCACTAGAACAGTGTTATATATTTTGCTGACTTTGTGTACATACATTATCCCAAATGTTTCGAAGAATGTTAAAATCCAGAGAAATAAGCAATTTTAACTAGTGACACGGAGAGTGTCCATTTCTTTCAAGTTTAAAGGCAGATTTTTGCTCCAATGTGAAAGCTGTAAAAACCAGGAGTCTCATTTATAAAACTCTCCATAGATTTCATCCTAAAAGTGTGCGTATGCACAAAAGCTAGATTTTGCATACGCACAAAAGTTTTCAGATTTATAAAACCATGCATACACCAGAACCTGCACAAAAATGCCTTTATAAATCCCAGTCAGGGGAAGATTGTGCGTACGTGCATCTCCACCCCGACTCCTCCCTGAAATCACCATACATGGAGCTTACAACGCCTAGTTTTACTATGCATAACCTCATCTGCATATCATTTCCATGCATATTCCCATCCACGCGACACCATATTTAACACCATTAAAGGTACAAGACATTAAGGAAACTTCTCATAACATGAGATCTGCAGTTTAGTTTAAATATGAATTATTGTGCACCTATAGCAGTCCTCGCCGTCATTAAAACAGCATGCCACAGGAAGATGCCCATTTTGTGCGTGCGCAACGTTTATAAATGAGACCCCTGATGGTTTATTGTGGTTTTCAACTATTCTTTATGGTCAGAACATGGCAAACTAGGGCTGCTCGATTATGGCAAAAATCATAATCACGATTATTTTGGCCAATATTGTAATCACGATTATTTAACACGATTATGAGGGGGCCATATGACCAAAACTTTGTATGAGTCATTTATTTAAAGATAGTGATACATATAAAATATACATTTCCTGTAAATAAGGTTGCTATGACATCTACATTGTAGAGACCAGCGGAATTTCAAACAAACAAACAAAAAGTCCT